GCTCGCGCCGCGGTGGCCGTGGTCGCCAGGGGGGTAGGGGTGGTGGTTGCAGTAGTGGTGGTGACGGTAATCCGCCTGCGGGGACTACCACTGGTGGGCAGGAGCAGCAGCCCCAGCCGCAGCCGCCGCCGCCCAGCAGCAGTTACCGTCCCAGCAGCAGTCGCCGCAGCAGTGGGCCCGTCTCCCGCCTGGTTGGCCCGGCACCTCTGGAGGTAGTGGCCGTGGTGGCGGTCCGCGCAGCTTGGCGTCTACCGGCGGCTCCGGTGCTGTCACCTGCCAGTACCAGCTTCAGACCGGGCCTCTTCGCGGCACTCTGTGCCGCCGCCCGCACCCGACCGCCCGCTGTTTCCGCCGCCTCGACGATCTCTTTCGTCGTCGCTTTGGCCCGGCCCCGGACCTCCCCGACTGGCACAGCCTGCTCCGCCAGGGCGTGCCGATCTTTGAGTTAGACATGGATCAGCTAGGTGCTGCTTGCATGCTTTGTATTCTGACACTTCTAGTTTTGCTGGATCTTATTACCCTGTGTACTCTAGTTTAGGTGTTGCACCACTGTGTAGCTTAGCCTCCCCTGCTGCGTCAGGCGTAGGACTGCCTAGGTTGCCTAGTCTAGTCGCTGCACCGGCTCCGTCCCCGGCCTCCGCCACTGCGTCGCTGTCCTTCACTCTCGACTCCGGTGCTTCTGCCTGCTTCTTCCGCGACCGTTCCACGCTCACGCCGCTTGCTGCACCTGCTGTTGTCTCTCTCGCTGACCCCTCTGCGGGTCCGGTCGTCGCGCGCAGTTCTACGTCCCTTCCCTGTCCGGCAGTTCCCTCAGGCTCCCTTACTGGCCTCCACGTTCCCTCGTTCTCCAGGAACCTGGTTGGTGTCGGCTGTCTCCAGGACCTCGGCGTCACACCACGTTCCCCGGGCACGAGCGGTTCGCTGTCTGTTCTGAGGCTGTCTCAGGTTCCCCCCTTGCGACGTTCCCCCGGGACCCGGTGTCCGGTCTGTTTACCCTAGACACCGCTTCCCCCCCGGTTGGTGCGTCCTCCCAGGTCGCTGCAGCTTGCTCGTGTCGGTCCCTCGCTCACCCTCCCTTCTCTGGCACCACCGCTTAGGTCACCCTGCTCTCCCGCGTCTGCGTCACATGTCCCAGCACGGTCTTGTCTTAGGTCTCCCTGCGTCGCTCCCTGCCCTTCCTCCCTCGACTGCGCCACCGTGCACGCCTTGCGTCGAGGGTCGGCTTCGCCGTGCTCCTCACTCCTCCTCGCTGCGTCCTGCTACTGCCCCCCTTCAGACCCTGCACTTGGACGTTTGGGGCCCTGCCCCCGTCCCCGGACCGCGCGGTGAGCGCTACTTCCTTGTGCTCGTCGACGACTACACGCGCTACACCACGGTGTTTCCCCTGGAGCGGAAGGCCGACGTGCCCGACGTTCTTCTCCCGTGGGTTGTGGCTGCGCGTCTCCACCGCGGTCTCCCCGTGTTGTGTCTCCACTCCGACCGTGGCGGCGAGTTCGCCTCTGGTCGGCTTGGACAGTTCTGTCGTGCGGAGGGCATCACCCAGTCGTACACCTTGCCGGACTCGCCACAGCAGAATGGGGTTGCTGAGCGCCGCATCGGCTTGGTCATGGAGGTCGCCCGTACCTCCATGATCCATGCCGATGCCCCCATTTTTTGTGGCCGTTCGCTGTTCGCTACGCTGCTCACCAGCTTAACCTGTGGCCACGCTCCCAGCGGCCGCAGGTTTCGCCGACCCTCCTTTGGACCGGGTCCCCCGGTGACGCGTCTGCGTTCCACGTCTGGGGCTGCCTTGCTCACGTTCGTGCCTCTGGCACGGACAAGCTCACTGCCCGCACTGTCCCCTGTGTCTTCCTCGGTTTCCCCCTGGACTCGTCTGACTGGCTTTTCTACCACCCGCCGTCTCACCGCTTCCTCCACTCTCGTGACGTCACCTTTGACGAGTCCGTCTCCTTCTACCGCCGCTTCCCTCACCGAGGTCTCCCAGTTGCCCCCCCCCTGTTCCTTGCTCCCTCTCCCCCGGTAGCCCCTGCCCTCTCCCGCCTCGTCCTGCCCCGTCTGGTGTCTCCCACGTCACTCCCCTCCCGTCGGTTGTCCCCGTTGAGGAGTCTGCTGACTCTGGTGGTACCCCGGTCCGTCCTTGCCGCGTCCCCCTTCCCCGGTGCCTCCGCCCCCACTGTCGCAGTCGCCGACCCCGCTGCCGCCGCCGTCGCCGTCGCTGCCGCAGCCGTCGCCGCTGCGTCACCGCCGCAGCTGTCGCCGCCGCCGCCGCTGTCGCTGCCGCAGCCGTCGCCGCTGTCGCCGCCGCCGCAGCCGTTGCCGCCACTGCCGCCGCCGCTCTTGGCCCCTGGGGGTGCTGGTGTGGAGGAGGGTGTTCGTCCTGCGGCTTCTGGGGGTGCCGCTGGTGTTGGAGGGGGTTCTCGCTCTGGGGGTGTTGGTTCTGGGGGTGCTGCTGTTGAGTGTTCTGCCGACGGTCGTTCTGCCTCTGCTGGTCCGAGAGTTCCGGCCCAGCCGTCGTCGCCGCCGCAGCAGCCGTCGCCGCCGGTTTCGCTCTCCGCCTGCTCGGCCTTCCCTCACCGGACCGCGCGCCGGTGTCTCCCCCACCGCCTGCTGACCTCCCTGTCTACGGTCCTGTGTTCCCGCCGCCGGACTCGTCTCCGGCCCGTCTTCCTCCTCGTTCCCCTCCTGTGTCTCCTCCGCTGTCCCCTGACCCTACCCCTCCGTCTCACGTTTGGGCTCGCCGTCCCCCCGTGCTCGTCCCGTCTCTCCTGTCCTGCCCACCCACCCTATGTTGCTCCGTTCCCGCTCGTCTCGTCCTCCCCTCCTCCCGTCCCCTCCTCCCTCGTCCCTTGCTGTTGCACCTCCTCCGTTCTCTGACTACCTCCGTGCTTCTCGTCCCCTTGTCCCTCGGGTCCTTGCCTCTCTTGTTACCGACCTGCTGTTCCTGTCTCGCGCCTTGACGCGCTTGTCGCCGCTGTCGCTGACTTCGCTTCTACCCGCCGCCTTGACTACGCTACCGCTCTGGTCTCTGACCCTGCCCGTCCTCTGTCCGTCGGGGGTGCTCCTGCCCTTGGCAGTGACGTCCTAGAGGACAGGCAGTACGAGCTGGCTTTCCTTTCCGAGGCTGCTCCCCATCTCTGCTCCATGCTCCTAGTCCCTGAGGGTGACCCAGACGCCTTCGACATCCCGACCCCTCGCACCTACGCTGAGGCCACCTCGGGACCTTGGGCCTCTCAGTGGATAGCTGCCATGGAGCAGGAGATGGCATCTTGGAGGTCCACCGGCACTTACGTCGACGCAGTTCCCCCGCCTGGGGTGAACGTAGTCGATGGTCGGTGGCTCTTCAAGGTGAAGCGCCCCCTGGAGAGCCGCCTGTCTTCAAGGCGCGCTACGTGGCCAGAGGTTTCAGTCAGCGCGAGGGGTTGACTTCTTCCAGACCTTCGCCCCGACCCCGAAGATGACCACTCTTCGGGCGCTGCTACACGTAGCAGCACAGCGTGACTACGAGCTTCACTCCCTCGACTTCTCTACTGCCTTTCTTCAGGGCAGCCTACACGAGCAGGTCTACCTGCGCCGACCACAGGGCTTCACTGGTACCTTCCCTCCTGGGACCCAGTGGCTTCTCAGGCGCCCGGTCTACGGCCTGCGTCAGGCTCCCCGCGAGTGGCACGACACGCTACGTGCCACGTTAGCAGACCTGCAGTTCTTTCCGTCCTCTGCTGACCCTTCACTGTTTGTGCGTTCCGGCCAGACTCCGTTCTACATCCTTGTCTACGTAGACGACCTGGTCTTCGCTACTCCTGACAGGGACGCACTGGCCTCTGTGAAGGCTGAGCTGCTGAAGAGACACACCTGCACTGACCTTGGAGAGCTGCGTCGCTATCTTGGCCTGCAGATCTCCAGGGACAGAGCAGCACGCACCATCACTCTGACCCAGTCACACTTGGTGCGTCAGGTCCTTCAGAGGTTCGGTCTTCAGTTCTCCTCCGCACAGCCCACACCTCTACCCGTAGACCATGGGCTCTCTGCTCCCGTTCCTGAGGAGCCAGTAGAGCCCAGTGGCCCCTACGCAGAGCTGGTGGGTTGCCTCATGTACCTGATGACTTGCACGCGCCCAGATCTCGCATACCCTCTCAGCATCCTGGCTCGCTTTGTGGCTACAGGCAGACACCGACCTCAGCACTGGTCTGCCGCTAGAGGGTTTTGCGTTATCTTGCTAGTACATCAGGCATGGGGTTAGTGCTAGGAGGACGCAGGCCAGTGGTCCTTACTGGGCACACAGACGCTTCTTGGGCAGACGACGCTGAGACGCTCAGGTCGTCACAGGGCTACTGTTTCAGCCTTGGTTCGGGTGCTATCTCTTGGAGATCCACTCGCTCGTCGTCTGTGGCTCAGTCTAGCTGTGAGGCTGAGATCTACGCTGGTGCCATGGCGGCACAGGAGCTCCGCTGGCTGACCTTCTTGCTCACAGACTTAGGTGAGCGGCCTAGCTCTGCCCCGGTCCTGTACGCTGACAACAGGGCCATGATACTCCTGTGTCAGGAGCCTCGGCTTGAGGCAGAGCGAAGCATATCCAGCTGCGGTACTTTCTCCTGCGTGAGCTACAGCAGCGCCGCCAGGCCGCGTAGTTCACTTGGCCTCAGGTGCCAACACAGCTGATATCTTTACTAAGGCGCTTGCGCCTAAAGATCATCAGCGGCACTGTGTACAGCTTGGTCTTGTTCCTGTAGCTGCTCCCCTGTTAGGATCCTGATTGTGTACTCTCTATTATATATGCTTGTCAGACTGGCCTTGTGGCCTTACCTCCAGTGGCTGGACTAGTAGTGCCACCCTGGCTTGCTTCAGTTTTGGTTGTATTCTTGCTGACTGGTCTCAGACCCCTGCCTCAGTGGTTGGACTAGTAGTGCCGCCCCTGAGCTGTTGTTTCTTGTTTAGTTTCACCCCTTGTCTAGCCTAGGGGGTGTGTCAACTTATACATATTATCTATGTAGAAGTTATAGGCTAGACTGAGGTATGCTTCTAGTGAGTACAACCAACTAGTATTTGTTCTAGGTTTCCACCTCTAGTAATCATTTCGTTCTCATTCTGACAAACAGCACTCTATACAGACAGACCCTTCGATCATCCATACCACTCCAGGCTATGTTATTCACAGCCACGCATGAAGCATCGCACACTACTCCCTGCTTCCCATACACCAGAAACAGCCCAAGCTGATGACCGAGCGCCTCAAAAGTGTTTAGAGGCATCTCCCACTTCTCCTCTCGTCCCCCTCTCCTCTCAAGCACACACCCTCCCTTCGCCTCATCACACGCCAGACGACCTGAGCGTTTCAAAGAGCAGGCCCCGGGCAGCGAGGCCAGGCCAGAGCTTGTCGCCCCCATGGAAAGGCAGCAGCTGGGGGCAGCACGCCCCCGGTGGGCAGGGTGGACGGCGACCGGGTCAGGAGAAACACAGCACTCTGCACGGCTATGCGTGGGGTTACCACGTAACCCATTTCCTGAGAATGAATGGGATGGGAGGAGAAAGGGGGAGGTGGGGAAGGGCGGTGGGGAAGATGAGAGAGGAGCAAGGTGGCAAGGGGAAGTTTGAGTGCGTGTGTGCATGGGCCTGTGTGCGTATGTGTGTGTGCATAGAGTGAGAGTGAGTGTGAACCAATTCCTTACAGGTCCACTGACGACAGTCGACACGTGGCAGTCCGGAATTGGCCGGATCCTCTTCCCCTTGCCCTGCCCCCTTCCCCCGCCCCCCCCTTGCTGCTGCTCAGCCCCCCATCCCCTGGAAGGCGGCGAGGGTGTCCTGCGAGAACCCCGCGCCTCAAACAGCATGCGGAACCGCGTGCACGCTAGCTGTGCTGCCGATGGGCCTGCGGTTAGGGTTAGGGATAGGGTTCAGGTCAGGGTTTCCACAGGGGAAGGGAACCAAATACGGGATTGGGGAGGGAAGAAATATGAGGCAGGGTTTAGGGGTGGAGAGTTTGGCAGGTTGATTGATAGCACGTGGAGGTGGGGTGGAAGGGGGGCGTGATGTGATGCAGAGCTGAATAGCGATAGAGATAGAGATAGAGATAGCGATAAGAGAGATAGATAGATAGATGAGAGAAGAGAGAGAGAGAGGAGAGAGAGAGAGAGAGAGAGAGAGAGAGAGAAAGAGAGAGAGAGAGAGAGAGAGAGAGAGAGAGAGAGAGAGAGAGAGAGCATGAGTCCCTCCCTAGCTATTTAAGCTCTCTCCCTCTCATTCTCCAGTTTAGTTTCCAGTTCCCTTGGCGGCGGCTCGCGTCGGCGGCCTTCGGGCCGCCGACGCTCGCGCGCGCCTTCGGCCGCGCTGAGGGGCGGCAAGGACACAAGGCTTCAAAGTCAACTACGACAACATCAAATACACACATCCGGGGTCTACAACCCGCCAACACTACACTCGGCAAACAAGCATGGAGAGCCTGACAGAGCTTACCAGAGCGCTCACGCTAGGGCGCACTTCACCAACCAAGAACCTACACACGACGGCAGCCCATCATGCGGCTTCGTCCGCTCCAGCCTCCTCAAGCAGGGCCCTCACATAGTCCCCCAGGAGCATCAGCGCTGACACGGCACCGCCAACGATGTCTACAGCTGCAGCCGAGTCTACGCTCGCCGATACTGTCCGCATCACGGCGAGCAGGCGCGGGTCCAACACGGTTCCCGAGGCGGGCGCAGGCTGCACTCGCGTGGACACGACAGCCAGATCAGCTGCAGCCATCGCGCAGCGGTGGAGTGGATCGTGAGGCATCTTGCACGGGCTCACTGAGCTCCGTAGAACGGAGTGTGAGTCCGTCAGCATCTCCACAGCATACCCCATCGCCCTCTGCGCGTGCCAGAGCCGACGAAGCGTGGCGACTGGGATCGCAGTCTCCGCCAGCCGCCCCTCCCCCGCAGGCGCTCCAGCTGCGCCCTCTGCGGCATCCGCAGCCCACCGAGCGACGCCGCCCCTGGTCCCCAGGAGGCGAGAGTCCTCGCCGTGGACTCCGCCCCCCCATCTCCGCTGCTTCTGCCCCCCCTCAACTCCAGTCGGTGACGCCAGCGCGCGGGGGGGGAAAAGGGCTGTCGCCCGTCGCCGAACGATGCTGGTGCCACCAACGGCGGCTGGCCGGGGCCATCCCACCACCGACGCATCCGGGGTCGGCTGCCAGGGCGGCAGCGTCCCGCGGACCGCACGTTAACCGACGCGGATCGAAGGGACCGGCAGAGGGGGGATCGGCGGGAGGCAGACAGAAGGGGCGCAAGAGGTGCTGGCTGTCGGAGCAGGGGGGACACACAGGGGAGGGAACACCTGCGCCGGCACCTGAGGAGGGGGAAACGCACGGCTGCGGTGTGCCTGCTGGTACTGCTGGGACGCCAGAGCTGCGGAGAATACGCCAGAGCCTGCTGGGGTGGGCGACAGCGGAACAAGCCCTCGAGAGTCGCCGCGGCCCGCCCTAGGCGCCTCTCCGCCGCGACCCGGTTACTCCCCCGCCAGCCCTCCAGCCGACGCGCTGGCCCGAACGCCCGGCGGCGCCTGCGGAGTCCGGCGCTGCTGCCCGGCCCGCTGTGGGCGGCGCTGAGGCGTCCCCTGGCGAGAGGGATGCTGCTGCCGCGGCGTCTGATGCACCCGCCATGCGCGGTTCACGACCTCTCCAGGAGCGCTCGGGGATTTCTCCTCGTGCTCTGGGGCGCGTTTGTCGCCCGCGACTGCCCCCGCATCCGCTCGGGGTCTGTGGCGAGCCGTCGAGGGGACCGAGGAGCCCGCGCTCCCAATCGGTTCGACTGCTGGCGGGCTCGCCCGACCTTGGGGGACTCGCTTCCCCAGTACTCTCCAAATCGGCAGAACGCTCCCGCGCGCGTCTCCATCCCGGGAGGCGCGCCGCACTCGGCACCCCCACGACTCGGCACGAAAGCCGAACGACGACCAGGGCCGCCCCGAGAGGAAACCACGGAGGCGGACGCGGAAGACTCAATACACGGACGGCCGGAGGGCGCGGTCGCGGGGCGGCAAGGCGTGGCAATCTGTCCTCCGACGGAGGACCGCTGAACGGATTCCAGCAGGCAGCGAACAGGGCTTTAAGTGCCTCGGAACTGCAACGAACAACTGATGAGGAGGAACGGGCGACGGAACTTATATACCAGGGGACCAGGGAGACCCACGACTGAGACCTCCAGTGAGGAGGAACGTCGCGAAACAAACAGGCGCGCTGGAGGACGAGAGACTGACCCAACTCCCAGATCTAGGGGACGAGGGTCCAGCCGCACAATACTCGGGCACCGCTGGACACCCATCCCCAGGCAGTTCCGCAGCTCCCCGGAAGAACTGGCGAATGACCCCTCCAGATTCGCCGTCATCGCCACTTGGGACGTCGCAGTTCTCTGCGACAGTCGCCAACCCCCTCTCTCCCGCCGGTTACCCCCCCAAATCCGTCAACTTTTCGCGCTCGCCCTTCTGACACCCCTCCTTTTCCTCGCCAAACATCCAACCTCCATCGAGGGTTGGATCCTGTTACTTTACCTCCCGCGCCTCACACTTCGCCTACCCTCACCACGACGCCCTGACTGGCCCGCGACGGAACGACGACTTCGACAATTTCTCGCGGGCCAGTGGGACACACTGTATCAAGCAGCTGCCTCTGCTGTCACCCTGCCACCCCCTCCCCGCCACGTACCTGACACTCTCGGGAAAATATCCCGCGCCGAGGGCTTGGTACGACGAGGCAGTTTGCGACGGGCACTGCTCGCGTTGACTTCGACCCCAGTCAGCAAGTCCACCCCCGGTCCTGGACGCGCTGAAGTCAAAACACCCCCCTCCGCTTGTCGAAAACCTCACCTGGCCACGGCTCGACGAAAACTGCAGGCCACGACAGTCGATTTCGCTACGTTCGCGAAGCTCCTCTCTCTCCGAAAATGGAGTTGGGGCAGGCCCCTCGGGGATGACCTTCGAGCACCTTCGCGATGCCTCGCTGTCCAACCCCCCGTCGCCACACATCTTCAGCTCGTCCAGCGGTTACTCGCGGGTAACCTGCCGCACGAGGTCAGCCAGCTCGTTACCTCCTCACGCCTCCTGGCCCTTACCAAGCCGATGGGGGTACCCGCCCCATCGCAATAGGGAGTGTCTCCACCGGCTAGCGGCAAAATCCGCGCTAATCTCCTCCACGCAACCGCGCAAGACTACTTCCTACCACACCAATACGGGGTAGCCATCAGAGCGGCGGGAAACAATCATCCACGCCACCAGGGGCTTTACCTCTGCGCGCCCGGGCTCACTCATCCTACAAGTCGACCTCTCGAACGCCTTTAATAGCGTTGACCGGGGCAATCATCCACGCAATCAACACCTCGCCCCTCGCCCGCTCCTTCCATTTATACAATTCTCGTATGGCGCGCCGTCTCTCTCTGCTCTATCTCGACGCCGAGTTTGATAGCCCGCCCATACTTAGCGCACGGGGAGTTCGCCAAGGGGACCCCATGGGCCCCCTCCTTTCGCAGCAGCCATCCACCCAGCCCTCCAGGCAACCGCCGCGGCCCACCCCGAGGTCCTTTGCCTCGCATACGCTGACGACGTCACTTTCGTCGGCAACCCAGACGCCTGCACCTTGGCGTTCCTCACCTTCACAGCCGCCATGGACCGCATCGGTCTCTCCCACAACCCACGAAATGCGCAGCATGGTCAGCCGAGCGCCCTGCACCCGACCGCCTTCCCCCAGACATACCTTTCAACACAGAAGGGGTCCGCGTGCTTGGCAGCTTTATAGGCACAGCGAGGGCACAGCCCATTCCTCCGCACCCAGCTAGCCCTGCTAGCCGAACCCCTCGCCACACTGGCCACAATGGACCCTCAGTCCTCATCCCTCCTCCTCACACGCTGCGTATCTCGGCGTGTCTCATACTTAACCCGCACCACCTCCCTTGACTTCCTACCCCTGGACGTCTGGTCCGACTGGGGTAGGGAGCTCTTCCATACTCTCCTGCGAGCCTGCAGCCTCCAACCACCACGAGGCGAGGTGGAGCGGGCGCGCACTTGGGTTCAAGCGTCCCTCCCTCCCTCTCTCGGAGGGCTGGGTCTAACCGACCCCGCAATTGAGGGACACCCAGCCTACCTCACCAGCCTCACCCAAGCCCAGGGCTCTTGGCTGCCCTCCCAGCAGCGTCAGGAGGGCCCCTGGCTGATACTGTCCGGCACCTCACGCCACCTTTCACCAGCCCCACCCACTTGCATACCTGGCTGGCGAAGTGTGAAATGGCGATGCCCCCACGAGCCCGGGAGCTCCTGCACTCCGAGAGGAGGGAACCCTCAGGCTCCCCTCCAACACCGCTTATCCCTCGAAGTCCAGGCCGTGCGATACGCCGACCAGGTGGCAGCCACGCGGACAATGGACCCAAACCCACACTCCGGGCACACCCAACGCCTCTTTTCCCTGGCTGGATATGGAGCAGGGGACTGGCTTCATGCCATCCCCATCTTCCCAGCCCTCCGCCTCGAAGCTCCACACTTCGCCATTGCCCTGGCCTTCCGCCTCGGCCTCCCATTCCCAGCCCCCGCACTTGCAACTGCGCCGAGGAATTCGAAATCCTCGACACTAGGCTGCCCAACCACCTGCTTCGGTGTGGCGCTGGGCACGGACGGACTGACACCCATAATGCCTGCGGGACGAGAGCATACGGATGGCCCGAGACGCTGACTTTATAGTCACCAAGGAGACCACCATCTACAGCCCTGTAGACGGCCACAAGGCCGACCTCGCCCTCTGAGACCGCAGCTCCGGAGCCGTCTGGATCTGTGACGTCACCGTCGCAGATCCCATCAGCAGCCGAGATCCGGACGCACGAAAAGGACGAGGATACATGGCCCGGGTACAAGCCGACAAGAAAATCTCCCATTACCGAAATCGGGCTCCCTACGTTGGTTTCTTCCCACTGGCGGTCGAGACATATGGCTGCCCCTGCGCCGAGGTCCCTACCTTTTTGAAGCTGCTGGCAGACACAGGGGCCAGGCGACTCTTCAATGCAGACCCAAGCTCCTACCAGGCAGCGAAACTGCTCCACCAGTTTCGTCAACGATGGTCAGTGACGCTGCAGCGGGCGCAGGCCTTGGCTTACCTGGGCAAAGTAAATCAAGCCTCCCCCGCCACCCACCCCAGTGGGCACCCTGACGCCGATATGGCACCTGGGGACTGCTTTGCCATAGCAGAGCCCCTAGGGGAGAACGCGTAGATCCGAGCCTCTAGAGCATGCACGTACCTTGACTTGCTGCCCTTTGCCTGCCTAGCCTGTACCAAGGTTTCCAAGGAATAAAAGGACCGCTTGAGAGAGAGAGAGAGAGAGAGACCATGAGTCCCTCCCTAGCTATATAAGCTCTCTCCCTAGCTCATTCTTCCTGTTTAGTTTTCAGTTCTTTCTTTTCTCCCACCCTTGGTGGCGAGAGAGAGGAGAAAGAGAGCGAGAGAGAGAGAGCATGAGTCCCTCCCTAGCTATATAAGCTCTCTCCCTAGCTCATTCTTCCTGTTTAGTTTTCAGTTCTTTCTTTTCTCCCACCCTTGGTGGCGGCTCGCGCCAGCGGCCTTCGGCCGCCGTCGCTCGCGGCGCGGCCTCCGGCCGCGCGGTTAGAGGATGGCAAGCGACACCAACAGGACAAGGCACTAAATGACGGTACACAACAGCATCCTACGACACCCTTCCATTGACTACACAACACGAATGGAGGATCTGATCCGCCGCACGAGGGCGCTCGGATTACAAGACTCCCCGCCCCGCTGCACCTACAACCGCCGCTCCGCTATTCCGCGACTTCCGCAAGCCCGGCCTCCTCTAGCAGCGCGGCCTGGTACGACACCAGGACCTGCAGCGTGGACACGGCGCCGGCTACAAGTCCTGCAGCTGACGCCGAGTCTATGCTCACCGACACCTGGCGGAGTGCGGCGAGCAAACGAGGGTCCGTGCCATTTCCCCGGGCGGGCCCGGGCTGCGCGCGCGCAGCCTCCACCGCGAGATCTATGGCTGCTTCCATGCAGCCCTGAAGGGGAAAGTACGGGGCCATTGACCGGCCCGCTGAGCTCCCCAGAACGGAGCTCGCTGCCGCCAGAATCGTCACCACTATCTCCGTCCCCCTCCACACGTGCCCTAGACGACGAAGTGTGGCAGCTGGGACCGATATCGCCCCGGGAGCCGCCTGCTCCAGCCCCACCGTCAGCGAGCTCCTCTGCGCCGCCGCCCCGGCCCTTCGGGCTCGATGGGGAGACCCCTCCCCCGATGAAGCCGCTCCCCCCGTCTCCGCTGCTTCTGCCCCCGCCTCGACGCCCTGTGGAGACGGCGCACGCCGCCGGGGGGGGACAAACGGGCCGACCACACCCTCCGCGGTAGAGCCCCACCTGGGGACCGGCCCACTCCGCTACCTCAGCCCAGGGCGAGGGGGGACGCCATTCCGGGAGAGTATCGGCGGACGACGCGGGCCGCCCATCTGAGGCGCTGGCGGGGACCGATGGTGCGCGTCGTAACTCCCCGGGGGGGAGGGGAACGACATGTGCGGGGACTGCTGGGGCGCACCCGGACGCAGGGCAGAATGCGGGACCCCAGGCGGCAAATGCTGCAGCGGCGCGTTGGGCTGCGGTGCTAACAGGGGATGTGGCGGAAAAGGGGGGCGCGATTGCTCACACCCAGGCACCAACGCGGGACGCGCGCGGACAAGCGGCAACTGAGGAGGATCCGCCCCAACCGGCGCCGGCGGGTAGGGGAGGGACGGCGGAAGATTCTGAGGAGGGAATGGGGGCTGCAACTGGTGGGGGAGCTGCCGGGGAAGGACCGGCTGCTGGGGAGACGGGAGCAACCCGGCGCCAGCCCGCTCGAGGATCCCTCCAGCGTCGCGGCAGTTCGCGCCAGCCGCCTCTCCAGCGCGCTCCCCTCCGCCCCCGACGCGTGCCAGCTCGCCCCGATGGGCCGTTCGCCAATCGAGGCTGGGGCGGAGGGGGCCGGGACGGTAGCACGGGAGGGGGACGGGGCTCACCGCACGCGATTCCGCAGGTGGCGACGTTACTGCAGGTGGACACCGGCGGACCTCTGCGACCGCCACCACCGCCCGCCCCTCCAGCCGAGGTGGCGTCGACGCACGCATCCGCTGGGGGGACGCTGGCGCGCTCGTGGACGGCATTGGGAGCCCACGCGCCCACCGCTGGTCCGACTGAGGGGGGGAGCTCGACCGACCTCGGGGGGGACGTTTTCCCCCGAACTCTCACGGTCAACGGAGCGCTCCCTCCGAGCGTGTCTGGCTCGGTCGGCCATCCGACCTGCCGATGAGCCCCAGAAATGGCACGGCGAGACAACGGGGCGAACGCCCGCCTACACCACGCTCAGCAGCGCGGGGCAGCGGCTCGCGAGGACGACGCGGTGGCAGGGGGCGCGGGCACTCACCAAGTCAGATGGCTAACGGTGGACCACTGAACGGCTTCCACAGGGCTGTGGGAAGGGCTTTAAGAGAAACGTGGCTGACAACACGAATGCTGCTGAGGAGCGTGCGGATGCCACTTATAGGCAGGAGACAAGGGAAGAGACTAGCACGGAAGATTCAGCTGGGGATGATGAACGCGATAGACCGGATCGGGGGCAGAGGCAAGCAGGGCGGAATCAACGCGAGCGGCGAGTGCTGCATAGGCGGAATTTTGGGAACAGCGAGGCACAGCCCAGCCAACCTTCGCGCCAATTCTCGCCAGAAGACCTGGCGAAACACGAACACCTTTTCACGGGGATCGCAAATTGGGACATCAGATTACTCTGCGACAGCCGCCAGCCCCCCTTTCCCGTCGAATCCCCCACAAACTCCGCCAGCTTTACGCCCTCGCACTGCTGACACCCTTGCTCCACATCGCAAACAACCCATCCAGCCTCGCTGGATGGCGCCTGTTACTTTTCACCCCGACTCACCCTTCGCCTCAATTCGCCGCGCCACCCAGATTGGCCAGCGGTTGAGCGGAGACTTCAGCAGTTCTTGGCCGGCGAATGGGAATCGCTGTACCTGGCAGCAGTGGACTCGATCAACAACCCACCTTCGCCACGACACTCCGGCGACACCCTTGGCAAAATATCCCGCGCCGAGGGCCTCGTCCGTCGTGGCAGCCTCAGGCGTGCCCTGCTGGCGCTGGACTCAACTCCGGTCAGCGAGTCAACGCCAGAGGTCCTTTGCCGCGCTGACCTCCAAACACCCCCCCCTCTGACCGAGTCCCTTGACTGGCCCACCCTCGACGAGTCCGAGCCTCTCCCCTCCGTCTCGCTGGCGGATTTCGTTCGGTTACTCTGCCGCAGCGAAAACGGAGTCGGCGCGGGACCGTCGGGCATGTGTTTCGAGCATCTTCGCGACGCAGCCCTCGCGAACGCCTCGGTCGCCAGCAGACTCCACGGGGTAGCAGAAATCCTCCTAAAAGGATCTACCACGCCAGAGGTAGCTGAGCTCCTCACAGCTAGCCGCTTGCTAGCATTCCCAAAGCCCGAGGGAGGCACACGCCCAATAGCAGTGGGCGAATGCCTCCACCGCCTAGTGGCGAAAGCGGGCCTAGCCGCCATGACTGAGCCCGCCCAAAACCACTTCCTCCCACTACAGTTCGGAGTGGCGGTACGGGCCGGCGGCGAGGCGATAATCCATGGCGCAAGAGCCTTTGCCACGGAATTCCCGTCCGCCCTCCTGCTCCAACTCGACATTTCTAACGCTTTCAACAGCGTCGACCGCGGGGCCATCATCACGGGACTTTTCAACTCCCCGCTCCGACCCCTCCTCCCCTTCGTGCGCCTATCCTATGGCGCCCCCTCCACTCTCTTCCTGGACGCGGGCTTTGACAGCCAGCCCCTCCTCAGCGCTCGCGGCGTCAGGCAAGGGGACCCCATGGGACCCCTGCTCTTCACCGCAGCCATGCATCCCGCCCTACGCGAGACAGCCCTAGCGTTCCCCGGCGTCCTCTGCCTGGCATACGCCGACGACATAACCTTGATGGGGGAGCCGGCCGCATGCATTGCCGCATTTACCCACCTCACCCACGCGCTACTCCCTTGGGCCTGACCCACAACCCGGCTAAGTGCGCGGCGTGGTCCGCGGCCCACCCCCCCCTCGACCCCCTCCCCCCCGGGATCCCCTTCTGCGCCTCCGGGCTGCGGATCCTGGGCAGCCACATCGGCCCACCAGACGCTGCGGCCAGCTTCCTGCGGGAGCAACTAGCCGCGATGGCCAAGCCACTACCCACCCTGGCGGTCATGGACCCACAGTCTGCCAGCCTCCTCCTCCACCGCTGCGTCTCTCGCCGAGTCTCTTACCTGACTCGCACGACACCGTTGAACCTGCTACCAGCACAGGAGTGGTCCCAGTGGGGGCAGCAACTCTACCTCACCCTCCTGAGGGCCTGCAACCTCCAGCTACCTAGGGGGGAACAGGAGATGGCACGCACCTGGCAACAGGCCTCGCTCCCCCCCTCCCTCGGAGGGCTCGGGCTGACAGACCCCACGGTCGAGGGCCCCCATGCCCTCCTTACCAGCGTCACGCACGCCCAACGGCTCCTGGCCTCCCTCCCTTCACACCCATCGGGCCCCCTCGGGACAGTGGCCCGCTCCCTCGCACCACCCTACGACAGCCCTACCCCCCTTCACACCTGGCTAGCCGAGTGCGAAGCAGCACTGCCAGCCCCAACCCTGGAACTCCTGCGAGCCGAGCTCACGGAACCCTCAGACGCACCGCTCCAGCACCGCCTCGCCCTCGAGGTCCATGCCGCCCGATTCGCCGAGCAGCTGGAGGGGACAAGGGACATGGAGCTCAACCCCCTCAGCGGTCACACGCAGCGGCTCCTCTCCCTCACGGGGTACGGAGCAGGGGACTGGCTCCTCGCAGTCCCCCTCTTCCCATCTCTCAGGCTGGCACCCCCTCATTTTGCCATAGCCCTCGCCTTCCGCCTGGGCCTCCCCTTCCCCGCGCCCAAGGTGTGCAACTGCGCCAAGAAGACCCAGATCCCGGACCCACGGCTCCCCAACCACCTATTTCGCTGTCGGACAGGGCACGGGCGCACCGATACACACAACGCCCTTCGGGACAAATGCATCCGTATGGGCCAAGACGCGCAGCTCATCGTCTCGAAAGAGACAGCCCTATACAACCCGGTCGATGGCAAAACAGCCGACCTCGCCATCCGGGACCGGGACTCGGGAGCAGTCTGGATCTGCGACGTCACGGTCACGGACCCAGTCAGCTCCAGGGATCCCCTCGCCCGCAAGGGCGCGGTTACATGGCAAGGGAGCAAGCGGACAAGAAGATCGACATGTACCGCCACAAGCAGAGTACGTCGGCTTCTTCCCCCTTGCGGTCGAGACATATGGCTGCCCCTGCGCGGAAGTGCCGGTTTTCCTCAAACTCTTGGCACACACGGCCGCCCGACGCCTCTTCAACGCCGACCCCACCTCATACCAGGCGGCGAAACTACTTAACCAGTTTCGCCAGCGCTGGTCCGTCACCCTCCAAAGGGGGCAGGCCCTCACCTACCTGGGGAAGGTGAACGAGGCGTCTCCGCTGGAGTGGCCCCCCTTGGGGGGGCCCGAAGCGGGCATGTCCCTCGGGGACTGTTTCGCCGTGATAGAACCCTAGGGGGGGGGTAGGGACGGGCACCAGACCTTCCCACCAGCTGTATGTGCCTATGCCTGTTCCACCTGCCTAGCTTGTACCCAGGATTCCCAGCAACAAAGGACCATTCGAGAGAGAGAGAGAGAGAGGGAGAGAGAGAGAGAGAGGGAGAGAGAGAGAGAGAGAGAGAGAGGCCAGGAGCTCTTCCATACCCTCCTCCTCTCGTGCAATCTTCAGCTCCCACGGGGTGAGCAGGAGCGGTCGCGCACGTGGCAACAGGCCTCCATGCCCCCCACTCTCGGCGGCCTTGGCCTCGCAGACCCCGCAGTGGAGGGCCCGCACGCCTTCCTCACCAGCGTCACACAGGCCCACCGGCTGCTCATATCCCTTCCTTCGGACCCGACAGGCCCTCTCACTACAGCGGCATGCTCCCTGGCCCCTCCCTTCAACGGCCCCTCGCGTCTCCATACCTGGCTGGCGAAATGTGAGTCGGCCCTCCCAGCTCCAGCCCTAGCGCTCCTGCAGGCCGAGCGGGCCGAACCCTCGGACGAACCCCTCCATCACCGACTCGCCCTGGAGGTGCACGCAGCCCGCTTCGCCAATCAATGGCTGCGTCACGGGAGATGGACCCCAACCCCCTTAGCGGCCACACCCAGCGGCTCCTCTCCCTCACTGGGTATGGCGCCGGCGACTGGCTCCTCGCCATCCCCCTATTCCCATCCCTTCGGTTGGCGCCGCCTCACTATGCCTTCGCCTTGGCATTCCGCATGGGCCTCCCTTTCCCAGCACCCAGGGTCTGCAACTGCGCCCAACAGGTCGTGATCATCGACCCACGCCTACCAAACCACCTCCTCCGCTGTGGGACGGGACATGGTCGCACCGACACGCACAACGCCCTCCGAGATGAGTGCGTGCGCATGGGGCGAGACGCACAGCTCATTGTCACGAAAGAAACGGCGATGTACAACCCTGTCGACGGCAAGACCGCCGACCTGGCCATCCGCGACCGGGACTCGGGGGCGGTCTGGATCTGTGATGTCACCGTCACCGACCCAGTCAGCTCCCGGGACCCGCTAGCACGCAAAGGCCGCGGTTACATGGCCCGGGAGCAAGCGGACAAGAAGATCAACGAGTACCGCCACCGGGCGGCATACGTCGGTTTCTTCCCGCTTGCAGTCGAGACGTATGGCTGCCCATGCGCCGAAGTGCCAACCTTCCTTAAACTCCTCGCACACACGGCCGCCCGCCGCCTTTTCAACGCTGACCCCAGCTCCTACCAGGCGGCTAAACTGCTCAGCCAGTTCTGCCAGCGCTGGTCTGTCACCCTCCAGCGGGGTCAAGCCCTCACCTACCTCGGGAAGGTGAATGAAGCTTCGCCACTTGAGGGGCTGCCCCTCGGTGCCCCTGAGGCAGGCATGTCCCTTGGGGACTGCTTCGCGGTCATTGAGCACCCAAGGGAATAGCCGGGGACTAGGAACCCGTCCACGAACACCATGCATGCCGGTACCCACCTTACTTGCCTAGCCTGTACCCAGGATCTACCATCAATAAAGGACCGTTAGAGAGAGAGGGAGAGAGAGAGAGAGAGAGAGAGAGAGAGAGAGAGAGAGAGAGAGAGAGAGAGAGAGAGAGAGAGAGAGAGAGAGAGAGAGAGCATGGGTTCCCAAGCTATATAAGGCCCTCTCCCTCTCATTCTCCTCTGTTTTTAGTTCAGTTCTCATTTCTCCTTCCTTTGCTAGCGGAGAGAGCGAGAGAGAGAGAGAGCGAGAGAGAGAGAGCATGGGTTCCCAAGCTATATAAGGCCCTCTCCCTCTCATTCTCCTCTGTTTTTAGTTCAGTCCCCAAGGGCACAACAAATCCCTACAGCGCCCGCTCCAATGCCACCAGCATGGAGGGACTCCTACTACTGACGGGCCGCTCGCCAACCTCCCAGACGGCCGCTGACGCGCAGCATGGACGCGCAGCTGCCTGCGAGATCTACGGCTGACGCCAACGCGATGCTCTCCGACATCGCTTTCATTGCGGCGGCCACGGCCGGGTCCAAGCCATTTCCCGGGCCGGGCACGGGCAGCGCTTGCCCCATCACCACCACGAGGTCCGCAAGCGCGTCCGAACTCGTCCGCAAGTGTGAGTGCTGCATCTTTCGGGAGCTCTCTGACCCCAGCAGCGCGGAGTGCGTCGCCTCCACGACCACCGCCAGCAGCCCAAACGCCCTCCTCGTCTGGCACATCCGACGGAACGTGGCTGCTGGAACCGCGACCACCTGCCCCGTCTGCCGCCTGCCCGGCAGACCGTCCTCCTGCGCCCCCGGTTGGCTCCGCGTACCCACTGGGCGCTGGGTCCGGGACTGGGCACGGAACCCGGGGGATCTCCTCCGACGACTCCATCCCCCCGTCTCCGCTGCTTCTGCCCCCTCCTCAACTCCATTTGGGGACACCGCCAGTCGACGGGGTGGCACGAAGGGCCCATACACCCCCACACCCGACGCACGGGCGGGAAGCCCCGGAGCCCAGTGATCGGGGACGAAGGACTGCGGAGGTGGTTGCCACTCGGGGAGCGCTCCACTGGAGGCCGCCGGTGTGTCCAGGGTGGGAGGCGCCATGGGAAGACGAGCCCCGCGGTACACAGACGGCGGAGGTCCCAGGAGCGCCGACGCCGGCTGGAAACACACGGGCGCACTCGCCGGAAACAGCGACGGCGGATGCGGAGGGGCGAGGAGAGGCGGGAACGGATGACACGGACGCGGTGCAACGCACCGGGCGCGGTCTGTGCAGCCCCTCCCATCGGCGCGGTCGAAGCAAGCGCCTGAACGCCACTTAGAATGCCTTCAAGGGTCCGCGCGCTGGTCGCCAGCTGGCGCTCAAGAGCCGCCGTCCGCGCGGCAAGGCCGGCGCGACGGCCGCGACGCGGTCCAGCACGGCCGCCGCCCCCAGGAGTCCCCCAGGGCTGCAGCAGGCGGACCAAGACGGCCCGGAGATCGGCGGGAGCCGGCTGCGGGGGGGAGAGACGCGACGGCAGCTGCAAGGACGGCAGCGGCTCGGTCCGCCGCTGAGGCAGAGCGTGGGATGGTGGCGACGGCGACGAATGACGCGACGGCCGACGCGGGGACGCCGGACGCGACGGCGGACGCGGGGAGGCGGGACGCGACGGACGCCGTGGGGACGAATAGCACGAACGCAGACAGGGGGAGGGCGGCCGAGACGGCGGGCGCGGTGACGGCGGCCGAGACAGCGGGTGGCGAGGCGACGACCCCGCTGGGCCACCGCTACGCTCTGCGCGCTCGGGCCCCAGGGTCCCTCCCTGCTCGCCGCGCAGAGCAGGCGCCGCCGAACCACTCCCCGCACGGGAACACACGGGGTCTGGCGACTGCCGCTGGCTTCGGAGAGCGGGGATCCCCCGCTCCCACAACGGCGCGGAGTAGGCGGCCAAGCTCGCCAGATCTTGGGGGCGCCCGCTATCAGCCGAGCTCGACAGATCGGCGGATCGCCCCTGACGGCCGCGAAACCCCCCTTCGCTTCCCATCGAGCACTCACCGCCGCACCCCACCGACGGCAGGGACGCGCCTCGGGCCGCGACAAACGCCGCGAGGAGACCCGGGACGGGGTGGAGGTCAACGGAGAGAGCGCAGCAGGGCAACGAGCTCATGGCAGGGGGAGGGCCAGTGAACGACTTCCAGAGGGCTGCAGGACGGGCTTTAAGGGCGAGACGGAGGGAACAAGCAACTGACGAGGAGGAGAGGAGGGACCCGACTTATAGAGAGGAACCACAGTACGAGTCAAGCACTGAGGGATCCGAAGGGGACGCTCGAGACGGAGCATTTCGGGGACAAGCGTCGCGACGCACACGGCACGCCCCAGCTCCCGCGGCTGAAAACAGGCCGAACGCACGGAACGAGCGGGACCGCACAGAACAGCCCAGCCAACCCCAGCGACAAATTTCGCCAGCAGAGCTAGCCGCCAACGAACAGCTTTTCGCGGGGGTAGCCAGCTGGGATATCGGGCTCCTCTGCGACAGTCGCCAACCCCCCTTTCCCGCAAGATCCCCCCAAACTTCGCCAGCTTTTCGCCCTCGTCCTGCTGACACCCCTCCTCCACCTCGCAGCCCAACCTACCAGCCTGCCAGGCTGGCGCCTGTTACTTTTCGCACCTCGACTGACACTTCGCCTCAACTCGCCAAAGCACCCTGACTGGCCCACGTGGAAAAAAGGCTCCAGCAGTTCCTGGCAGGCGATTGGCACGAGCTTTACCTGGCAGCAGTGGACGCCATCCACGACCCACCGGCGCCACGTCACACAGGGGACACCCTCGGCAAAATATCTCGAGCCGAGGGGCTGGTCCGCCGAGGCAGCCTGAGGCGCGCCCTGCTGGCCCTCGACTCGACACCGGTCAGCGAGTCAACCCAGGAAGTCCTCGAGGCGTTGAAAACCAAGCATCCACCGCCGCTGACTGAGTCACTCGCTTGGCCACACATCGACGAGTCGGAGGTCCCCCCTCCCTCACGCTCGCAGAGTTCACCAGGTTACTGAGTCGCAGCGAAAACGGGGTCGGCGCGGGCCCCTCGGGAATGTGCTTCGAACACATTCGCGATGCAGCCCTCGCCAACAGCGCCGTCGCCAGCAAGCTCCACACACTCGTAACTCAATTGCTGCGGGGCGACTCCACTCCTGACGTAGCAGCACTCCTCACAGCCAGCCGCCTACTCGCCTTCCCTAAACCCGACGGAGGCACGCGCCCCATCGCCGTGGGCGAGTGCCTCCACCGCCTTGCCGCCAAAGCAGGACTCATCTCGATGGCGGATCGGGCGCGCAATCACTTTCTCCCACTGCAGTTCGGCGTCGCGGTGAAGGCCGGCGGCGAGGCAATAATCCACGGGGCCCGCGCGTTCGCCACCGAGCGACCATCCTCGCTCCTACTGCAGATCGACCTCACCAACGCTTTTAACAGCGTTGATCGCAGCGCCATCGTCTCGGGCCTCTATAACTCCCCCCTCCGCCCTCTCCTACCCTTCGTCCAACTCTCGTACGGCGCCCCCTCCCAGCTGTACCTCGACGCCGGCTTCAACAGCCCGCCCCTGCTCAGCGCTCGAGGCGTCCGGCAAGGGGACCCTATGGGCCGCTGCTCTTTGCCGCCGCCATGCACCCCGCCCTGCAAGCGACCGCCGCAGCGTACCCCAGCGTCCTGTGCCTAGCGTACGCTGACGACATCACGCTGCTAGGCGAGCCGGCAGTGTGCACAGCGGCGTTCACGCACCTCACTGACGCTCTGACCCCCCTGGGCCTCACGCACAACCCATCTAAGTGCGCGGCCTGGTCCCAATCCCAACCTCCTCCCTCCTCCTACCCCCGGCATCCCGTTCCGCGACTCTGGACTGCGGGTCCTGGGCAGCCACATCGGCCCCCACGAGGCTGCGGCTCAGTTCCTGCGCGAGCAGCTGGCTGACATGGCCAGGCAGCTCCCCGCCCTCGCCGCCATGGACCCCCAGTCCGCCTCCCTCCTCCTCCACCGCTGCGTCGCGCGGCGGGTATCTTACCTCACCCGCACAACCCCACTGAACCTGCTCCCACAGGGGGAATGGTCCATTTGGGGGCGGGAGCTCTTCCTTACCCTCCTCCGCTCCTGCAAACTCCAGACACCACGGGGAGAGCGGGAACTTGCACGCACCTGGGAGCAGGCCTCACTCCCACCCTCCCTAGGGGGCCTGGGCTTAGTGGACCCAGCAGTGGACGGTCCACATGCGTTCTTGACCAGCGTGGCCCAGGCACACAGGCTCCTGCTCTCCCTCCCCTCGGACCCCACCGGCCCCTTGGCGACCGCCGCATGCGCTCTCGCACCCCCCTACACCAGCCCCACCCCACTTCACACCTGGCTGGCGGAGTGAGGCAGCACTCCCGGCCCCGGCCCTGGAGCTCCTGCGAGCCGAGCGCCTGGAGCCCTCAGACGAGCCCCTCAGCACCGACTCGCCCTGGAAGTCCACGCGGCACGGTTTGCTGCTCAGCTGGCGGCCACCCGGGAGATGGAACTCAACCCCAAGAGCGGCCACACACAACGGCTCCTCTCCCTCACCGGTTATGGCGCAGGAGACTGGCTCCTCGCTATCCCACTCTTCCCCTCCCTCCGCCTCGCCCCCCCACTTCGCCATAGCCCTGGCATTCCGCCTGGGCCTCCCCTTCCCCGCACCCAAGGTGTGCAACTGCACCAAGCGGGTACAGATCCTGGACCCACGACTCCCGAACCACCTGTTCCGCTGTGGGACCGGACACGGCCGCACCGACACCCATAACGCACTCAGGGACGAGTGCATCCGCATGGCACGGGACGCCCAATTCATCGTCACCAAAGAGACGGCGATCTACAACCCGGTCGACGGCAAAACCGCCGACCTTGCCATCCGGGATCGGGACTCGGGGGCGGTGTGGATCTGCGATGTCACCGTCACCGACCCGGTCAGCTCACGAGACCCGCTAGCCCGTAAAGGCCGCGGCTACATGGCCAGAGAGCAGGCCGACAAAAAGATCGACGACTACCGCAGCCGGGCGGAGTACGTCGGCTTTTTCCCGCTGGCGGTAGAGACATACGGCTGCCCCTGCGCCGAGGTGCCCACCTTCCTCAAACTCCTGGCACACACGGCCGCCGCCGCCTTTTCAACGCCGACCCCAGCTCCTACCAAGCCGCAAAACTGCTCAGCCAGTTCCGGCAACGCTGGTCCATCACACTCCAACGGGGACAAGCGCTCTCGTACCTGGGGAAGGTGAACGAGGCCTCTCCCCTGGAGTGGCCCCCCTTGGGCGCCCCGGACGCCTGCATGTCCCTTGGAGACTGTTTTGCAGTGATAGAGCACCAGGGCGAACGAGAGTAGACGGGGTCCCGATAGGAGACTCACCTGAGCCGAGACACCAGTTTGTACCAATCCGGCATGCCTAGTTTGTACCCAGGATTGCCCATCAACGACGGACCGTTCGAGAGAGAGAGAGAGAGAGACCATGAGTAGCTAGAATCGACCAGGCACATGGAGCTAAACCCCCTCAGCGGTCACACGCAGCGGCTCCTCTCCCTCACAGGGTACGGAGCAGGGGACTGGCTCCTCGCAGTCCCCCTCTTCCCATCACTCAGGCTGGCACCTCCTCACTTCGCCATAGCCCTCGCCTTCCGCCTGGGCCTCCCTTTCCCCGCGCCAAAAGTGTGCAATTACGCCAAGAAAACCGAGATCCCGGACCCACGGCTCCCCAACCACTTATTCCGCTGCGGGACGGGCACGGACGCACTGATACACACAACGCCCTCCGGGACGAATGCATTCGCATGGGCCAAGACGCACAACTCATTGTCTCGAAAGAAACAGCCCTATACAACCCGGTCGACGGCAAGACAGCCGACCTAGCCATCCGGGACCGGGACTCGGGGGCGGTCTGGATCTGCGACGTCACAGTCACGGACCCAGTCAGCTCCAGGGACCCCCTTGCCCGCAAGGGACGCGGTTACATGGCCAGGGAGCAGGCGGACAAGAAGATCGACATGTACCGCCACAGGGCAGAATACGTCGGCTTCTTCCCGCTTGCTGTCGAGACATACGGCTGCCCTTGCACGGAAGTGCCGGTCTTCCTCAAACTTTTAGCCCACACGGCTGCCCGGCGCCTCTTCAACGCCGACCCCAGCTCTTACCAGGCGGCGAAACTACTCAACCAGTTTCGCCAGCGCTGGTCAGTCACCCTCCAACGGGGACAGGCACTAACCTACCTGGGGAAGGTGAACGAAGTGTCACCGCTGGAGTGGCCCCCCTTGGGGGGACCCGATGCGGGCATGTCCCTCGGGGACTGCTTCGCCGTGCTAGAGCATTAGGGGAGGGAGGGGGGGTGGTAGGACCGGGTACTAAACCTCCCCACCGGTAGTATTTACCTGTGCCTGCTCCTCTTGCCTAGCATGTACCCAGGATTTCCCAGCAACAAAGGACCATTCGAGAGAGAGAGAGAGATAGAGAGAGAGAGAGAGAGGATTGTGGAGGAATGCAAAGTCGGAAAGACGATTGGAGTGGAATGACGAATGTCTCATGCCCCATGCCCCATTCCCATGCGCATTCCCATGCCATCCCCACCCCCAACCCCACAC